TCTTCTGAAGAGTGGTGCCAACATTACCTGCCAGACGAGCGACGGACAGACCGCGTTGCACCTAGCCGCTATTCGTGGGCATGAAGGAGTGGTGGAGCTCTTGCTACAAAGCGGTGCCGACGTTTCTGTTCAAACCACCCAAGGTCACTCCGCGCTTCATCAAGCCGTGGGCCATGGTCACGACCCAGTGGTACAGCTGCTGCTCGACAGGGGGGCCGATGTCACCGCTAAGACAAGCTACGGACAGACGCCACTTCATTTTGCTGTGACTCGTGGTAATGAGGTTGCTGTTCAAAAGCTCTTGGATTATGGAGCTACAATCGACATACATCATGCGGATGGCAAGAGTTTGTTGCATTTTGCAATGTTGAAAGGACACAGAGGGGTGATTGATCTGTTGAAGGGTCGAAGGGCAAAGGTTCGGAGTTATCAGTCAAGCCCGGTAATATCGATTTCGGAGGCTTGATGTATTATTAGATTCTTTTCAGATTTATCTATGGTTGTTGAATGCACTCACACTTGAAACGACGAACTGAGCCCTTAGTGATGAAATCAATCAATCAAAGCGAACAACTCACAGCAGCGTTTTCGGGCGAGTGATTTACTATGATGCAGACAGTTGAGAAACATGACTACCTAAATTGCATGTACGTATAAAGATGCTTCGCAACATGCTATAATTTTCTATATTTGTATTAACCTTAACGATATGTGTGTAGATAGAGCATACCAGATATACAGTGCGGTATCCAGATATAGCGTGAGAAGTGGAAAACACATCTAGAAATATATGTGGCTTTATTGTAAGACCTATATTCTTCCTTCCAAGCATCAAAGTGACCATACATGTATGTTATCCTATCTCCATTTTAATAGCTGTTTGAAAGTAATGAATGACAGCACCCCACTCCTCGGCCAGGTGGTAGATCACATCCCAGCTACGGATTCAGATCTTTTCTTGAGAGTCGTTGAATCACCATGGAGATTTTTGTCCAGCAGACATCTTTTCTTTGTTCGTCTCTTCCTAGCCTTCACTATGACGCTATTTCTGTCGGTATATCTCGTGTTTGAGGTTCTCGCTGGCCGTGGCAAGATAATTGCATTCCGGTTGATGGACCTTGCCTGGATAGGACAGTGTATCTATCTATGGCTGACTTCAGTAAGTTTGACCTCCATCTCCACCTTATGGTCTTATCTCACTGGCGCCATGGCTCAAACTAGTACTGGATGTACCTTTATACAATCTCGAAAGACCAATCTCGTCTCCCGTATGCGCATACGGGCTGTCGTTACAATTCCTATTCGGCCAATATGCCACTCACGTTCAAAGAGGTATTAAACGGCCATCTTTTCCGTATCACCAGTTTCCCTAGTGGCGAAAGTGGCTCGAATCGATTCTTCTTCCACACTTTTTATACTGTTGTCATGGTCCTCCCGCTAGCAAGCACACTGCTATATTTCGTTCTTATACTTCCATCAGACCATCCAGTCGTTAGGCTAGAGTTCATCCTTAATAGCTTTAACTCAGTCGTGGCGCTTGCTGAATTGTTTCTTCTGAGCTCGGTCGTTGAAACCTTATCAGCATGGGGCCAGAAACAGATGACGATAGAGAGCTTGCTTCTCTCATTTTTCACAGTATTTTATTGTTATTTCTGGACCAAGGTTGGCAACCAACTCATACATGGCCCCAACAAAGACATAGACTGGCGGTTTTTTGGTGATAGAAGAAGATACTCGGACTGGGTACTCGCAGTGATTGCTGTGAACGTGGTCAATGGGGTCCATACAGTATGGTGGATTCTAGGATTTATAAAAGGCCGAATATTGAATCGGGGCATGTCTATAGATGCACTCGAGGCATTGTTTGCCCCACACGCTAGCCCGGGCTGTTCAAGCCCTGGGGAACCCGTGTAATTGATACAATGGTGTCCGTGAGAATATCACGAGGTTGTAAAGTACAAAGCTAGAGAATTAGCTATACAGGCTCAAGTCGTATAGAAGATGGTTTTTTAAAAACCGGTTTCCTCACTTATTTCTTTGATACTCAGAACTTTGGGTACCTCTTTGTATCAATCGCCTTGCCAAGCTAGTGTTAGATCCGCTAGGGATAGGTTCTGTGTCACTGTCTAGGTCTTGGCTAAAATACGCTCTTGGCGGAGAAGTCATAATCTTGGCATGCACATCTTGGCTCTCACGTCTTGGCGCGCACTGCCAGCCCCCCTCTTTTGCCACATACAACTAGCGTCATATGCACCCAAGATTCTCTTACTCCCCTCCATCCTTCTTCCACGCCAAACTCAACACTAAAATCACGATGCCAGGTAATCACCATATGAATATCGCCTATTCCACTTGAGCTCTACTGATGTCTCCTTCAGTCATAATTGATGAGGAGTTTCTTTCACAAGTCCCCATCGATTGGGATCTGGTGACGTTTTTAGGCGAGGAGTACCAAAGCTCGCGTAAGCACAAAACCCCTTTCAACTTCAACAAAGCCGTGGATCACTATCTCGCTTCTCTCAACCACATCGTCGCCAACACAAAGGATGCGACCATACTATCAAAAGCGAAGTTACTTCTGACTAAATATAGTCGGGGGGTAAGTCACTACAAGTCTTCCAATCTTTTAACCGATTTCATAAAACCAATGCCCTTACTTGACGCAACCGGGCCACAGACTACCTACTGGGTGTCTGCTTTGCCGTCGGCTCCCACCGGGCCACAGATTACCTACTGGGTGTCTGCTCCGCGTCCCGGTGGACCACTGGACCACAGATTACCTACTGGGTGTCTGCTCCGCGTCCCAGTGGTACCACTGAACCCAGATTGCCTACTCGGTGTCTGTTACTTCAGTGGGGGAGGGCATTGGTTTAATTAACTCATTATTTCTACCAGGGTCGTATATCGGACAAGGCTCGTTCCCGCTGTTGGGATAGGAACCGCTTAACTGGACGGCGTCAGAAACGCGTTTCCAAACCACAGGTGGTGATTCATCAAAATAATGGGACCATCGGCACTGTTGTCCGCGGGAACGTCGGCACGTTGAACTCGTTTTCTCAGCCCCATGCTGGACTCAAGTCTGTTGACTCGACCCTTGTTAGTTCGAAAGAAGTTGAAATAGAAGGGGAGCAAAATGTAGTTCCACAATTATCTCATGAAACATTATGTGACTCTAACAAACTAAATCTTGTATCCATTAGAATGAAGAAGATGAAAGTATTGCATCGGAACCAGTGACGTTGACACCCGAGTTTGAGACCAACCAGAGCACGGACAGTAAATTCCCACTTGTAGGGGGCGTGTTTTTGGAAGATATAGTGCGGGACTATGCAAAAGAGTTCTCAGATATTGACCAGCTGAACCTTCCTTCGCTGTCGATCATTGATGCCCATGACAAAGACTTTAGAGATTTGTTTGATGATGATCAGTGGAAAGAAATCGTTGATCAATCCCCACCAATACCCCAACTCCCTTGTTCGCTTGCGGATCATATCACAAGCTATACAAAAGTAACACCATTCTCTAAGACATCCAAGTGCGGTCCTAGATGCTAATTCCAATAGTGCGCTACCACGGATGACTGTATAGAAACTGCATATTCTACGGAGAGCGGGTGGGATAAGAGCATACCTGAGTACTCAGACAAGCGTTGGATTGATAACGTGATGGAGCACACGTAAGTGATTACCATGGCTCTAGATCTTACATAAAGTCGCTTATCGATGTTTTCTTTATCGCAGTCTCTTTTTACTTACACAGACCTCTAACTTATTGGGTTACCGTGGTTTGAAAGAAGGAGTATGGGATAGCTTGTACGCACATGTGATGGATGCCTGTATTCTTCGTCTTGCTCACCTTGGCTTATTTATGCAACGGTAAGTGGTATCTTCATCTCGATCACAGACCCTCTGGCTGATCGCTTAAATAGTAAAGAGATCATACTGGCAGCACATACCAGCGACCCTGACCCTTTTATATCTCCATATGTACGCTACGACGGGATTGTGCAGACAAGATGGCAGTATCATAGCCACCACCTTGAATACGCTGTAGTTGAAGTATCTTCGAGTTCGGACTCCAAAACATCTAATGAAGGAAAGAGAGACAAAGACCTTACCAAGTTACTGGCTGGGTGCCGTGCCATCCTCAATAACCTTAAGAAGATTGTCGATTATGATCCCGAAACTGTCAAAAAGTTGGCTGTGGTTGGTGTCTTACACGAGGGTAAGTTACTGCATCAGAATCTTTATAGCTTTCAGTGTCTGACCCTGAAGGTAGGCCGCTTTACTCAAGTTCTTTACATGTCATGTGTCGGCCACAATCTGTTCTACCTGAGATCGGGTGAGTTACGACCATTTCCAGAAAATGTCAAGTCCATCCACAAAGCTTGCGACCTCCTCACCATCATATGGAAAGTCAAGGTGAGTTATCACATGCATCAAATCATGGGTTGTAGTTAACAGAAATGAGTTTTTAGGCAGTGATCCGCGATTGTCATAGCACTGTCACGGAATACCTCGACCAGAAGAAGAAGTCTCAAACTATAGATCGCAGGGCGGTCGACTTTCTGTGAGGACCCTGTTCTTACAGTTTTGTGACTGAGCTGCGTGTTTTCGATAATTCAGGCCCAGAGCCCGTAATATTTGAACCTATATCTAAACTGCAAAGGCTGAGCAAGTTCGGCCTGAGAATGTCGCACTCAAGAACAAACAAACTTGCTGTCAATCACGAGTATCATAAGATAAATTGTATGAATAAAAAATAGGCCTGAGTTCGAGGCTACTAAACTGCAAAGTTAGTTAAAGTTGAATTGTTCTAGGCGATCGCATTTTGCGGTTTCTCGTAGTCTTTGAGATTTGAACTGGTGTTTCAGACGAAAAGCAAAGGCCTTCGAGGTGACAATATGAGTCCGATCGTGGAAACATATTCCCACGCACCAAACGGAGTGAGGAGGAGTCCACTTGGAACGTCAGGGAGTCTGAGGTAAAAAGATTTGGTATCGACAACGACAGGATTTGAACCTATGCGGGCGAACCCAACAGATAGCAAGAACTGAAAATTCGAGTCTGTCGCCTTAACCACTCGGCCACGTTGTCATATGTGCAGCTCATATGCATGTAAATTATTAAGCAATAATAATACTATCTCTTAATTAGGCTAGCGTCATGACTACAACTACCAGATCGTGTTTGGCTTCAAGGTTTTAAAGGGCAAATAACTTAGATACATCTAATAAGTATATAATTATAGCCTGCATATGCATGTGCGTTTATAGTCCTCTGATTGGCTCATTGAGAGATTTTGTTTCACTTGAAACATGTTGTGTTGGATATCAACATAGGGTATTGTGCTGAGTGGTGTTAGATTGTTTATAGTGTTTCTACTGGTTCTGGAATTCGATTAATAGTTAGATTTTAGAGGCTTTGTAGCTATTAAGGTATTAAGGATATAATTACAGCTTGAACTAGAGGTATTTCTGAATGATATATCATGGGGGATATCAGAAATTAAAGGCACATATAGATCGACCAGAGCGGATATAGTGATGAACTTTGCCTGCCAGGCAAACAGAAAAATAAGCCGCAAGGCGGCTTGCCTGTATATTGGACTGATTGATATACGTGTAGTACCGGCTGAAGGCCGGAAACCACTTGTATACTCTACACCCGTAGGGAAACAACGAGCGACGTGACAGCGAGTGCCCCAACCTGACATCCCCGCGCCCACAATACAGCCGCATGAGTATTCCTTAGACATGCCTTTTGACAAGTCCGGAAAGCGAACATAAAAATTATTGAAGCCTAAGCTAGGGAATGGTATATGAAATCATTGACAGCATGCTAAATAGAATTGCAGCAGTAGTAAAGAACAAGGGAGGTCATACAAAGTATGCCTCAGGGTCTACTCTGTATCTCATTGTGTACATGTAGTTATATTACTTCCGTTCATTATTTTCACTTTTACGTTGGTTGCACTGGTTGTAAATTCCTCACGGGTGTACTCGCGGTGCCGAAAACTCCTTGGGTCATGTAACCAAACTAAGTAGAGATAGGTAGTGAGATCAGGTATGTATGTAGATACAAACATACAATTAGGTTCACGTAGCCCGAGGACTTTCCGGCACCGCTGTACATACATAAGCGTGATATAGTATAAATTGATGCACAGCAGCTATCTACATATCTCATAATCCGATACCGAGTTACTGCCTATTTTGAGACAAAATAACTACTAAAAGAGGAAGGGTGGTAGCCGAATAGGTGTGATCCAAACACAAGTCACGGCTGGGAGTGCGCCACCAGAATCAATAGGCAGCTTTAACGGACAATGGGATACAGCTATTGAGACAAAATTTGATAAATATATCGAGCCAAAATTTGACAAAATAAAGATTACATAAATTGACTACTTCCCACTACGTATAAGTATCTACAGTATTTTAACCAGCTTCATCTGCTACAGGTAGCAGGGCAGACACTATATAGCTTTCCACAGTTGTAGCAAAATTCTGTACGGTTAGGGCACCTGGTACATGTCATATGTAAACAACCCTCAACTCTTTCAATCATAAACTGACAACCGGGGCAGGGCTTCCATCCCTTCTCTTTCGCCAAGCCAAGAACCGCAGTTGAATCCTCATCCGCTGGACAGATACCGGTATGCGCAGAAGACCGACAATGTCTACACGTAATACTATTACAAGTTCGACATGTGCCAGTATCGCCTCGTATGCTGGTAGGGGGGATGAATTTTGAACAATTCCTCGCCGCGCAATAGAGAGCATTCGGAGTACTAAGTTCAAGCATGAGATCGTTATAATCTCTGAGAAAGTTTTGAGTGAAATGTGCCGCGATAGAATCTATGGGGACCTGGTCGCAGCATCTAAACGGCTTCTTCTCCCTCAATGCGCCTTTAAAAGCAACTGTTTTATCATAATTGTTAGAGATGTCGAATCTCGAAAATGTAAGTTTATAATAGTTGAAGGATCTTACCTTTTATGCAATCCGTACAGTACCCATGGCTACAAGACAACATTGCCATATTTTCTTTTTCGCCCTCTTCCGAGCATGCAGTACAGTCTGCCATGCGCTCTCTCCGCAATTGTTCCCGTATTTCCAGCTCTTCTAGCCTAGCTACCTCAGCTAATGCGGCAAGTTCTTCTCTTTCTCTTCTTCTGACATCTTCATCCCAGATCTCCTGTTGAAGGCGTGCGTACTCCTCCTGTTCTTGAAGCTGTCTCAGATGCTCTTGCATATCTTGTGGCGTGTCCTCGGCTAGCTGCTTAGCTAATTCCCAATCCTGTAGTATATATGGATTAGAAAGCTCAGCGACCAGCGCTGCATTCTCAGCTTCTTGATCAAGAAATGAGTGCAAGTCTTGGGATGAACCTCCCGAAAGTCTTTTTATCAACTTCAGAGTTTCGCGATCCATATCTGGGTCTAAGCCTGCGGAGAGCATTTCTGCCAACTCTCTGTCTTGTTGATACTGCTCACGCATGAAAATAGAGGAGATTGATTCTTGATTGTCATCAAACAAATCGGACGGCTTTTCGAAATCTGCCTGAAAGTCTGCTAGTCTCGCTGCTAGAGCTTCATCCGCTGCGACTTGGTCATGAGAACCGTATTGAGAGGAACGCCTGAGAATTTCGAATGCTTGACGATTCGATCCAGTAAGCTCTTCTAGGGGATTATCTGCCACTTGGATTGGGCCAGGGTCATTTTTCGTTGAGCGAGGGTTCTCAAATTCACCTAAATGATACGGGGGAAGTTCCGTTTCCACTTCACCAGAGAAGTTTTCAAAAAGCTTGACGCCCGAGGTTCGCCTTTCATTATCTGCCCACCAATTTGCTTCCACTGTTAAAGAAACTCCAGAACTTGATGTTTGTATTGAGGATGAAGAAGATATTGAATGGTTTTTTGACATACTGGGCTCATTGCGAGTGACCCGGGGTTCAGCGGCAGGTTCGTTGAATATTGGAAATCCAGCTTCTGTTAATTCAGATAGGTACTCAAATATTATTATACCATCTAAAATAGATTTATAATGCCAGAAGAAATAGGCTCTTACCTCCGATTTCAACTGACCGTGTAGTTGGGGATGGGAAGTGGACAGCCTTCTTCTCAACCTCATCTATATTTCCTTGCGTCTCGGGGGCGGTTGTCCATTGTTCAGCCGACTTTTTCGATACATCATTTTTTTTGCTTTTAGCCTTGGCACCAGGTTTCTTTGCCTGTATTTCTTCCAGCTGAATGGCGGCGAAGGAGTGCGCGCGAGGCGCCCATGCCTTCCAGGGGCTTGCATTAAAGTTCTTCCAAGTAGTGCGTGAACTATTAGAAGACCCAGTTACCGGTGCCTTTGGGAAACATTCGTCGGACTCTTCGTCCGTCGAATTGGACAAACTATTGGCCCAGATACTTGGGAGACTAGCATCGTTTTCTCGCCTTATATCCCCGAACTCAGAGCTTGAGGTATGGACTTGGAGCCGACGAGAGTAATTTCCCTAGAACAATTAGGTTTTTGGACATTGACCCTTCTTTGAATCTTTGGGGGAAGTATAAAAAGCTTACGTTGATAGACCTAGATCTCATCGATGCCTCATAAGGATCCATACGACCATCTGCGTCAATTTCCAGGTCATACAACTCAGATCGATATTTTTGATTATCTTTGAAAAGCGAAGGAACTGTGTCTGCTTTTTGTGTGAGGCAAGCCGAGTCCTCGTCTAGAGAAGGATTGCAGCTCGGGTCCTAGTAGCACTTAATTCAGCTCCAGTAACCTTCCGATGTTATATATAAACATTTTCAGCTTACGTAGCTCTCCCAAAAGCTAGCTGGTATCTCTTGCAAGGGCCCTTCTTTAGTTGAGGGACCTGGTCTCAAGCAGAAAGCGTTGGATGAAGGGGCTTCAACAATTAGGCCTGTGAATGGATTTAGGAAGGATTCATCCTTCTCAAAAATAAATGGCTGGAGCCACTTGGGATGAGTTTGCGCCTGGTATTTTACTAAAGACGACTCGTTGGGTCTATTTATGGCAGCAACCATATCGTCCACAGAGCCGAGAAAGCGGTCCATGGCCTCTAACTGGCAACGAAACTCTGCCTGCAAAGCATCGTCATCCTCCGTCGCAGGTAATTTTCCATTCAAAGGAAGAAATTCGTCCCTCTCCTTTTCTCTGAGGGTGAGGACCTCACGATAATGAAACAAGGCCTCGCTGAGGGTTGACGCGAGCTGCTCAGTAGTTAACGGCATCTTCAAGGGTGCACACGTGGATGGCGTAAGATAAAGCACACGAGGCCTAGAATACTGTGATAACCTTATTTTTGTGCTTATCCCTAATCGTTTGTGTAGTGAGTTGTTGCTGGTGAAGCTAGGGGGTTCTAGTTTTGGCGAAAGTCCATCAGCTAGTTGGTAGGAGAGATGTTAGCTGTTCTTAATATCTTCTCCTCTGTATCGTGAAGACACCAATGATGTTATATAATATGGCGGCTGAACGCCTGGAGTTGCCAGCGGTGTGTTCGGTATCACAGAGCGAGAGAAGTGTGTTTGCAGAGGCACATTGCGATACGAACCCCGTGGGGCGCATAGTCGTGCAGATTTTTCTCTCTTGACGAACGATACTGGACAATATGGGTTGCCTGAAACAAAGCAATAAACGCGTTAGATATAGGCGCTTATGTACGCGGCTCGGCATTAAGTGAGCGAACTAAATGGGTGTTGACAGATGAGGATCCGTTCACTCACTAATGCTAGAGCCTTGTATGTGCATACATACCTTGATAATTCAGGCTACTTCCGGCACCGGCCATCGAGCGTGATGCCATTGCTGCGATCGGCCCACAGTATCAAAACTGTGCAAAGAGAACTTCTAGCCTCGCTCCTCGACCGAAAAATGTGATGGATAAATCAGAAGCCAACAACCAACAAAGTCATTTTTGGCTATCAGTCAGTAGAGCGAGGCGGGCATACGGTTGGTTAGACCTGTCTTGTGATAAAATTCCCATTTTAGTTAAGCGGCCGAGAACAAACCAATGATAATTGAAGTAAGTTTTGCGCAGTGCGGGTCCATATCAGTTCAATCATCCGATCCCTAAGCCTTA